CATATTTTACCGAATGTGTATGACAAATTACACAGAAGGGTTTTCGTTCACCTAACAAGGAAAAACCAAGAACGATCCTACTCACATGACAACATTCCAACACTAAGATGCACGTTGCACGATGCTGACTGCGACCTACTTGTTGACGAAATGCCAAGCGTTACTGTTTCTAATATCGCCTGCTATCTCAAGTTCCGTGTAGACACTCTCTGTCCTGCTGTTTACGAGATCTTACAGGGACTCTCCCACACAACTAAAAAAGCTTAACGAATATGCATAAATCGCATGATAATCCTGAGCCTCGGGGAATAAACTCTCCGACAAAGTTTGCAATGCAAGGACCAAATCGAATATTAAACGAAAAGTTTTTACCATGTAAGAGAGCTGCTAATACATGCAGACTTTTTGATCAAATTGTAAACAAAAGACAAGTTTCAGCTGGTGCCTATTGTGAAGTGAATGCCTTAGATTGATCTTCTTTGATATAATGACCTATGTCAATGGAGATGAACATTGAACGTTTGCTTTTAAAACTGGTAGCCATTAGCGGGCAACTCGAAGGCGTGAATGGTTCGGTCGTGTACAAGTTCAACGAAGACGATCAAAAACGAATAAAAACTTTTACAGTTCTCCGCTTTAATTGCCAAACAATATAACTTGCTTCCTACAATACTTGTGTTTTGGAGTTAAAGTCGATTTCAGCCAACTCTCAGAAACTGTCGATGTCTAGCTCTTACTACTCTGGAGCTCACTCTGTCCCTGGGAGACTTTCAGAAACAATTTGTACTGACCAACGCGAAAAAACCAGAACACATATTGGCGACTCGAGAATCCTTTATTCTTGCGCCAATATGTAACCAACAATAAGGTTATTATACAAAAGGTCTAAGAATAAATGTTATAGCAATAAATCACGATACTACTTCTGATAGTTTTTGTCTTCCACTGAACAGCGAACGATCAAACGATGACTGCTGGATTGATGACTTCCGCGAAAAATATGGAGGAGTTGGGTTTGAGCAAACAACCATGAATTGATTGTTCAATCTTCAACTACACTGACACACATTTTGAAGCATGCTCCTGCAGGATAAATGTCTTCAGGCTTAGAGGCAGCTTTTGACGACTTTTCGCAACGAAATCAACACAGTTCAAGCCAAATAAATATCAGAATCACGTCAAATCCATCTACTTAGATCAAACGAAGCAAATCAGCCAAACTCAAATCAAGTAGACCTCGTAAATGTCCTCAAGGTAGGCAAGAGGCGCCACTTAAAACAGAGGGCATGCCATGTAGTCGCCCCTATGGGACACTTCCATATTTCACGAATCCTCGATTTATGTATTCTACTTGTACCTGCGGAGGTTTACGAAACAAAGAATACCCTACCGTGATGTGATGCCGTGTTACACTAGAATTCTTTAGTTTACAGGTAGACCACACATTCAGTAATACATCTATTACCCGTTTTAGTTGAAAAATTAGTTCGACTATTTCGCGATGAGTTGGGCAGATTGCGTCACTATCAAGTGGGAGTCCAGTTTAGAAACCGTGCGGGGATATACTGCAGCTTTTTCAACAGTTGAGCAGAAGCAGCTCACTTTTACAAGAGGTATACAGTGATAAATACATTATTAATAATGATAATAATTTATATTTCGCATAAACTGGTGTTTTCGAGGAATGTATTCCATTTTTACATGCGTGATCAGCTGTGTTACAAGTTACAGTCGTGAAGTATTGCAAATTAATACTTTTCCAAAAGTTCAAATTGTTCGATTATTGCACAGGCAATCACTAAGGTCACCATCACATTTGAGCGAGAACAAAAAATTCGTTCCGTTTCCTTCTCGTAGTTATGGCCAACCAGTGAACGGTGTATAACTCACTGCGCTCAGTCCCAAATTATCCCAAAAAATTTTCTTGTTTGAAAATAAAAGATGTGCACATATGTTGTCAGTAACTGCAAATACACATTAACATCTAAATTTCATACACCTGTCTCACTACTCCAAATAATAATAGTCTGAGAGTTATTTATGGATGCAGTAAAAAGTATTTCATTGACCACGAGTGGCACTTCTTACTAAGCAGAAGCATGGGCACTTAGTGAAAGTACTTTCAAGAGCTAATACGACGAGGTTAGCTTTTTTCTAATATATACTGACCTGTCAACGCAATGAAAAGATAATGACGAAATTTTACAATAAGCATTGTATTTACTATGTAGGGAATTTTATTGCACGCATGTACAAGTCTTGCATGTCATTGCATCAGTAATATAGGCGAACAAATTGTACCACGGCCCGAATTGTATAATCTCAAGGCTTCGTACCAACAACATTGTGAGAGATTGATGTGTTGAAAGACTGCTTGCAGACACTATGTATGACGGCATCTAGTAGAATGTCTAGGAGGATTGACAACTTGCAATGAGGAAGATGAAAATGAAACAATTGGGAGACACATAATGCCTAAGATAAGCATTTTTGATATAAGTATAAAACTTGTGCGTTGTGGAAGTGTAACTCCATTATGGATGAGATATTATTTTGATAAATCACACAGTGTTGTACAGTACAGTCATCAGTTATTGATGGCGTTTCGAACACAAATTATTGCTCGAAATCATGTCAAGTCAACCACACGAAGTTTTGCTTCATTGGTATACATGAGTATTTTAGTTAAGCGTACTAAAGGGATAAAAATATTCACTCATTTCATTCACTTCTATTCACACTGTTTTTTATGTCCGTGTTACTGACTTTTGTTTTATGTTTTCTCCTTTGGCGCCCTTTAGCTGGACAATTTAAGGAATTGGGGAATGCATACAGTACTAAGGAAACGGCATTAATAATTGTTTCAGCCAGTTAACGCTGTAAAAAGTTGAGACACGAGGCAGCTGCAGTGACAAATACTGACTGACTGAGTTTTAACGTAGAACTCAGCACAGAAGTGCATCATTTCAATTTTTTACATTCCACACTTGAAAAATACTATATTTAGTTGGTGATAAGCAAAAAATATTTCATCAGATGTGCTTTGACTTAGCATTTAGGGTATGGGATAAAATAAATTAAATCATGAGGTATGACGAGACACAGTGGGAAAGTTATTTCGGGTAATAGGAGAAATTGTTGTAAGATAACTGTTTCCCTGACTTAGACAAGGAGCAAATGAAAAAATACGATCACCACTTGTTGACATTTCAGTGATTATTATGAGCTTTTTAGCATTTTATTATACCTAGACTATATGTCATTTTGACTGACTTTCAACACTGAAGCTTGCACACAGGTGCACATGTTCAAGTTATCACATTCCACACACACAAAGGTAGAGAAAAAAGAAATTAAATTGAACTCTAATGAGCATAAAAGTGAGGCGGAACAAATAGTGACCAGGAAAAAACATTACGGTTGGTTAGCTAAATAAGATTACTCAGAGTGAATGTATCTGTGACATTGACACCTCTTTGGAGTCATATCTCTATTTAACACTATACGTCTAACCCCAATATTACTCACCATACCAGACTACTTAACACAAGGGATAGGGTAGAGACACCTGCGATAAAAACCTCCCATTTTCAGTGGTCACCTCTCACAACCTAGGTGGACAATAGCATCACCATACTCTCAGTCGACGAGACTGTTCCCTGGTAAGCCCATGAAGTGAGTACTAAGTTTCTATCACGTATGAACCTCAGTTACGTTTTTAAATCAGAATCTTAAGGCAATTTATTCTTTCTCCAAAATAAACACCACTTGAGAAACACGTTCACAACAGTGCTGCACATTGCGCTCATAGTGCTAATAATTTGTCTCGTAAAATAAGAAGCAGACTGTGATGAGTAAATGAAAACTAAAAGTAATGTTGAAGTTGTGCTGTGAATGCCAACAAATAGCAAACCAATTAAGACAACAGCATTTCATCATATAGGTCACATATACTAGCATGGTTTTTGAAAAGTCGAAAATATATGTTTAAATTTGAAACTTTCCACATTGTTTAATCCATCGCATTGCGCAGATATCAGTATCAAGCGAGATTTCTTGATACAAGAGCAGCAGATGTAACGCAGTTCATCTACATTATGGTACCGATATCATATTCGTCAGAAAGGTTTTTTAAAGCAAAATTTCATTTAAAAAGCATACAAAGGACAAAACTTGTTACTAAATCACCATAGCAACAGACATCGAAGCAACGATTAGCGAGAATGTGCAATAAAGCCACTAGAAGTGCTGAGGTTAGGTCATTAACCTTGGACCACACTTGCCACATCCTAAATTTAGAGTATCATCAGTGTAAATTTGTCCGCTTGCTTATCCAATAGGTTCGTTATTGTCATGAAACTCTCACAAAATAATATCAGAGTAAAGAAATTGGAACATAAGGGCTAGCACCAATTACCATTACGTAAAAGGATATATGAGATGACTGACTTACAGCTCATCAGTCCAGCATCCTTCCTATATTATGGAAATATATTTGTTAGGATTTCATCCAGACACAAAATGAAAACCTCGCTAATTCAGGGAATCTAAATCTTATCCTCAATAACATCATTCTGTATTCGCCCAAATATTACTGTTAGCTTAGAGAACCTCATAAGATTTAGCTGTTTTCCTCATGGGTTTAGAATAAGTGCGCCTATAGATCATTGATGGCTGGCTGCTGCGCTTTATGGTAATGAAATTATATTTCATTGACACAAGTAGTTTTCGAAACTAAAACAAATTAGGACTGAGAGAAAGTCAGTAAGCCGTTTATAACTACTTTCGGCTTCAAAATTTGACTTCAGCCAACTGTATTACCTCACTTTCTGAATTCCAAAAATACGAAGAAAATTTTGGTGCTGGCTGGCAGCCTCTTAATTATTTCGCTGAAGATTAGAGGCAATGTGTATTGAATATCCAACAGCTTTTTAATTCGCTAAAGGGTCCACGTTTCTTAAGCGCAAAGTTTAGACAAAACCGTTACGGCTGAGTTTAACATGATGAAGTTTGTTAAGCAGAAGGAAGAGAATTGCAGTTTTCATGATGTAATGGATGGATTGCATCACCTCTATGACAAACGCCTGAAACCTTTAGAGGTCACTTATCTGTTTCCACAGTTCCATTCCCCAACTATTGATACTGGAGAGTTTAGTTCTAAACCAATGCTTCTTCTTTTGGGACAGTATTCGACAGGAAAAACTACTTTCATAAAATACCTTTTGGGATCCCCATTTCCCGGAATGCATATTGGTCCTGAACCAACAACTGACCGTTTCAGTGTCGTAATGAGTGGTGATGAAGGCATTATACCTGGAAATGCTCTTGTTGTCGATGCACAGAAACCTTTCCGTCCTTTGTCGAAATTTGGAAATAATTTTCTAAACCGCTTTCAGTGCTGTCAGCTTCAAAATTCAGTTCTAGACAGTATTATTATTATTGATACTCCTGGAATACTGAGTGGTGAAAAACAAAGGTTGGATCGTGGTTATGACTTCACAGCTGTTGTTCAGTGGTTTGCAGAGCATGTTGATAGAATTATTCTGCTGTTCGATGCGCACAAGCTTGACATATCCGATGAGTTTCGCAGAGTTATAGAGTCTATTAGGGGTTTCGACGACAAAATTCGTATTGTTCTGAATAAGGCTGATATGATTGATCCTCAGCAATTAATGCGTGTATATGGAGCGTTAATGTGGGGTCTGGGTAAAGTGTTGGGAACTCCAGAGGTCGTGAGAGTGTTTATCGGCTCATTTTGGGACCAACCACTGCAATGTGACGCCAACCGTCGCTTGTTTGAGTTAGAATCTCAGGATCTTTTCAAAGACCTTCGAAGTTTACCAGCTAATGCGGCGATGAGAAAACTAAATGATATAATTAGACGAGCAAGGCTAGCGAAGGTTAGTTATTTTTATGCACCATCAAATTACTCAAACATTTATGTAAATGGGCATTTTAAAGCAGTTGCCTGGTTGAATAAACAGTATGTGTATTCCTAAAAGCGAGGTTAGCATTTTGTGTGGGATTTCAGTCACGTTTTCCTAGCCGTGTAGCTTTTTTGGAGTTGGCGTTGCTCTTATTTTGAGGGTTGTAAGACAGTATCTCTCTTCACTTTAAGTTATCTGTTTGCTTAAACACTTCAGTTCTCCTGCGTCTGTATTTTATCATTTTTAAGCATTGTCTAGTGTATTTAGTTACTTAGATCTCAATTACCCAGCACTAGGCTATAAGCAATGTGGGGTGTTAATGATACTTTCCTGTTGCTGAGGCTGAAGAAGGTGAAGCGGGACTCGGACATGGGACCTACTGACTAAAGCCGAGTGCTCAAGCCAATGCATCACGTCTCCAAGTCTTGTCATACAATCTACAAGAGTAATGCATATCAGTGTTCGGAATACTTATATTAATAGTATGTTAGTTCTCTCCATATATTAATTGTTTTGTGACAACCACTATTCAAGTTCAAATATTCGTATAAAGCAGTAAGTATAATATTTGAAAGTGTGAAAAGTGTTCAGAATTAGGATACTCAGATTAGATAATCCTTAGTGATATGGTATGCATTCACCTATAATGAGGATTATTCTGTTATATTTCTGGTGAGGTAGTATTAGGATAAATTAATTTCTCATATTATGAAACTTGCTAAGAATATCCTTTAATTGAACGGGTAATTATTAAACTGTTTGCCAGTCTTCTGTGTTTTTAATAGTTTATAATGAGTCTAATTCAAGATTATACAAAATACATCTGCAGTTGTAACCCACTGACCACAGTCTTTGACATTCAATTATGTCATAGGTTTTAAGCTGTGTTGAGGTTTAACTACTTACAACCTGTGGAAATGTGGACAATTCTCCCTCCCCCCCATGGGCAAGGTTAGGATATCAAGCAAACTTCAAACAATTGTATAGGTTTCACAAACCTATGGCCAGAATGTTAGTATTTGCTGATAAAGCTTCCTTGTGTGGTTGATGTATAGTTTAAGCCTTAGATCCTTCAGAGTATGACTCTGAACGCTAGTTCAGTGATTGGGATCTTTTTATTATCGAGGTATTCTACGTATTGGTGTAGGAACTTTACTTCCAGCCGATTGTTTCAGGTTTGAATGGCGCTCTGCCTAATTCAGCACGAGCAACTAACCAGTACTATCAGCCCTTGCAATAAGTCTGACTCGAAACCCGGTGCATGAAAAATGTTTCACGCGACCAAGTTTTAAACAGTTGAGTAAAGAAAATAACATTTAGACTTCAGTATCTGGTCGCAGTGCAGTTGGTCATCTTTCTAGTACCGACTTCCTGTCAAAGTGGAACCTAAAGAAACTAGTTTCAGAGTAATCGGTTTACCGTAATAGATGAGTTCGATTATCATATTAATAGTAGCAACTGGTGGTCCGAAACAAATAAACGCGTAAGAAGTGATTCATGTAACAGTTTAGTCTTGGTATTTACAGTTATGAGAGTACATTCTGTATATTCAGTGCACGGGACTGTTCTTCTTTCTTTACTTCGGCTATCTCCTACGGGAGGATGAGCCGGCTTCATGAACCATGAAGTTTCATGGGAATTGGGTACGAGTGATGTCCCCAGAATCGCTCGGCCTTTGTTTGAGAGTGCAGCTCTAGCCTTTACACAACCAAGTGTGACCTACAAGGCAGTAGGAGTGGAGTAGGGAGTCCACTATCCATTGGCAGCCGGTGACCGGAGTCCGGTTCATTCGCCTTTTCGAATGGGGCCAGTCATCCAGGGCATCCAATAAGCCCTTTGTCCATACGTCTGCCGGTGAGCTTCATACGCCAGTCGTTGGAGGTTTGGAATCAGGGTTTAGCCATCTCCCCTAGACCGTCATCCAATGGACAGTCAACCCGGTGAAGAGCGCCGGGCATCCGCTTTTGCCCTCTCACTTTGGTGAAGAACACCTCCGCCACGTGTAGGCAGTGAGTAGGACTTCCTCAGGAGGGGCTATGTAAGACGCCCGGTCATATGGGAGCATTTCAAGAGGTGTACGGAGGGGTGGCCAACCCGCAGCGCAAGACACCCACCCCCGACCATCCTTAGGCTTTGGACTGTTGGGGTAGTTCAAATAGAGTAAAAAGCCAGCCGATGTAAATATCTTCACATTTTTGTCCGAGTTTCTTCACAACTTCCAGCTCAATATGAGCCTTCCGTATCATACTAACTTCCAAGAATTTATTTACCGTAGGGATTATTATGGAAACACGTTGATAAAAGTGGGCGCTTATTTAACTATTTTGCGTGCACTCTTTTGGTCAACGAAACTGTTCTCATGTCTATTCTAGTTTTGTTAGAAATCATTAGTGGGACAACCAAAATGTTTGTTTTCAGAATAAGCTTAATCTTTTGGGTTATCGTTACATTTATCATTCTACTTTAGTGTTCGAATTTACTGGCCTTTATTACTTATGAAGTTTGGAGTGAATTTAAGATAGATTTTATCGAAGTATGCTACATTTATCATTGGTGAATTCATTTACCTGCCAATTATGTGCATAATGCATTAGCAGTTTTTGATAAAAGAGGATGACATTCTGCAGCGTTGTAACCGGATTTCCGATATAGTTTAAGGGTCACCTGTAATAAAGAAATACGATATAAAACTGCTCGACTTATGGACCAATAATTTGTTTTCAAAATGAAAATGATTCATGAGTATATTAAATGTTTTGTAGCTCTTAATCTCACATATATCTGTATTGTAGCCACCCTCAGTACAGAGTTGAATTTTGTTTCTTAAGGTTTTATTGAATGTGATTTATCGTCTTTCTGAAGTTCGGATCACTGTAAACTCCAAATATATATGACGCTTTCAATCACATTTGTGATACTTTCAAAATTTAATAGAATAAAATTGTTATTTTCAATCCATATTTTATGAACAATCAGTTGATCTATTTGTAAATTTTACTTCAGGTACATGCCTACATAATTGGCTATCTCAAGAAGGAAATGCCTTCACTTGTAGGCAAAAACAAAAAGAAACAAGAGCTTATCAAAAACCTTCAACAGATTTACGATTCTATTTCCCGTTTGCATCATATTTCACCCGGTGATTTTCCGAATATTAATCAAATGAAAAGTTTACTAAACGAACATGACTTTTCATCTTTCCCAGCCCTAAAGGAAAGGCTAGTTGAAAGTGTTGATGTAATGCTGAGTCAGGAAATACCTAAATTAATGCAGATGCTGCCCAACGTAAGTGTTTTATCGCCATAATTATTTTTATTATTGTTATTGTTTATATTATAACCACACAAACTGGGTACATTATGGGCAATAAGGGATGTACTACAGAAATGTTGTAGTTTGTACTTGGGCTGAAATACTGAGCGGACGACCTGACTAAAGTCAGGCTACAGCCCGGAACAGCAGCTGCACTGCCCTAGTTGACGGTGACCAATACAGCTTCATGCGCCATTTAATCCTTTCGGATTTTCTAGTGCCCCTAGGTTGACCAACATTTCCATCGGTCCTGTTTTAAGCGCCAGACATTCTCATTCGCCCTTTCACTTTTGTTAGAAACACCATCGCTGCGTGAAGGTAGTTAATAGGAAGCTATTAGAACCCATTAACGTGCAGCCACATGAAAGCATTTCAAGAGAGAATACGAAGTCTACTTAACCTTGGCCATGCCAGGTCGTTTATAGGGTACACTTAACCATTAAATATAACATGTTAATGTAGAATTACATGCTACTTTGATACCCGACTATTGCCTATATGTTGATTACGAATTAAACACATACTGACCTTTAATCATCGTCAGACTAGGTGGTATTCGCATACGCATCAGATGCGTGTTTGCTTATGTAAGCTAACTAGGAGTTTGAACAAAGAAAGAAGAAACATTGGCGCAGGATAATCTGTATCCATTTTATTTCGTCGGTTCTCATCATCTGCGTACAACCTGAATTCTTTAATAAAATAAAAAGTGCACAATTTTAACAAACTTTTGTCCATTAGCAAGCATATTGTCAGAGCGTCATAGTGAAATAAGGCGTTGCGATTTACAAGGTGTCTAAAGTGTTAAGATATATATATATATATATATCTTGTTAGAGAGAAGTTACTTGAAAAAAATTAATTAACAGTTGTGTTGTTGGGGTGGTAACATTGTTGAAAGAGTCTAATAGAGATAAGATAAGAAAGGTTGGTTCAAATCAAGACTAGTTGATATCTCTAACCAGTACCTATATTTAGACTTTCAACAATATACACAAAAGCATCACTTTCACGATGGAGCATGAAGATGATGAAAAATTCCACCTTTTGAACGCAAAGCTGGAGAGGAAATACGACGTGACACTCGAAAGATCTGTATGTCGTAAAGATACATGGAGTGGTCTTTATTTGAATTTCAACAGCTTCTGCCCAGTGAGATACAAACGAACGCTGGTGAGAACGCATTTCTCCAGAGCGAAGAGAATATGTTCACCAAACAAACTAGACAATGAACTAATGCTTCTTGAAAAATACTTGAAAGAAAATGGTTACCCACAAAGTTCCATTAACAAATATGACAAGAATGAACTCAAGAAGCTTCATACAGTTACAGCCAGTAAGAAGCCTATTTTCATCAAACTTGATTATGATGGCGACGACATTATAAGAATGGTTAATAAAAGATCAAGCGCAGCCCTGTCTAGGACGTATCCTGCAGCGTTATCAGTAACTCTATTCTGAACAACCTCTTCATTGGTGCAGTCAAAGATTGACAGTTACCTCTCACATGTTACCTCCAACTGTGTATCTGTCTTTTTTCGACATAGAACTTTGCACAAATGTGCGGAAGTTCAAGTCGCCACACTCCGTGTAGCACGCGAAGTAAGAGGCTGTCGGTGGTGGTTTTTTTGGCTTCCATCGTTTTCAGTGGACGCAGAGTGGGGAGGAAGTGGAGAGCTATCAAGTCGAGGAGTTGCATCAGTGGAAGGAAGGCAAGATGATAGAGATGAAGATAAAAACAAAGATGAGTGAGTAGTAGAGAGGTTTCGCGTGCGTTTCGGATTGTGAGGGCGATTGTCACTTCCCGGCTGCCCACACCGTGGAAGTTGGTTGCGTGACCGCAGAGCCCAGGGGACAACTGCTTGAGGCCGGTCACACGCGACCTGTTTTTGTTTGTTCTGTTTTGTTTGGTGTGCCTCAGTAGCATACTTATCACTCCTGCCCTGTGACACGGCAGCAGGGAGCGCGGTCGTTGTTAATCCGGGCCACGGCCGATCCGGCATGAAATTTTGTGATTTTGTATTGGTCATGATGTTGGATTGGGTAGCTGCTTTTTGTTTAACCGCTATCCAAACAACCTGCCTGGTATGGTAGGACCTCAAGAGACATAAGTCTCAGCCAGTATAGCTGTGTATACCAATTCACATGTATCTGCGGGAGCAGTTACATTGGAAGAACAGAGAGGAGGGGCTACGTCAGATTCTGCGAACATGTACCAAGAAGCCTCCGGTTAAAGGGACCGAATTGTTTAAGCTCTTCAATCACCAAACACCTGATTGACATAGGACACCGAGTAGATGTGCTGGAATCATTCAAAATAATTAACAGACAAAATACCTCAAGTCTTCTCAGGTTTGCTGAAGCTATAGCAATAAAACGATTGAAGCCTGATATATGTGTCCAAAAAGAATCCGTTGTTGGACTTCAATTACCCTGGTAACTCACTTCTTTGTAACTCTTTGTTTTCTAATTTTGTTAACTTATCTTTTCACTCCCCCCCTTTATTTTTCGCTTGACTCTCTTAAGAGATAGTTCTTAATCTTCTGAGTTCTGCTCACTGTATTACATCATCAACTTCTCATCTGACCTCATGTGCACCGAAATTTTGATCTTCTCTCATCTAACTACGTAACTATTACTAATTGTCTTTTGTTACCACCCCAACAACACAACTGTTAATTAATTTTTTTCAAGTAACTTCTCTCTAACAAGATATATATATATATATCTTAACACTTTAGACACCTTGTAAATCGCAACGCCTTATTTCACTATGACGCTCTGACAATATGCTTGCTAATGGACAAAAGTTTGTTAAAATTGTGCACTTTTTATTTTATTAAAGAATTCAGGTTGTACGCAGATGATGAGAACCGACGAAATAAAATGGATACAGATTATTCTGCGCCAATATTTCCTTTTTCATTGTTCAAATTTTAAAAGGGAATCATTGTATGAAATTCTATCTAGGAGTGATGTAGTTTGAAAGTGGGCTGCATGGGTTAAAAGTCTTATCCTTGAATTTATAAACTACAGCTTTTTAAGCAGCTGATAGAATTTAGAAATTCCTGTTCTGATGCTTTTGAATCCCTTTTAAATCCCTGAGCTTAGTCTCAGCCTGTATTTGTTCGAAAAAATGTGATTGCTTCAAGTTAATTGCTTAGTTTATTGAAGTCAAAACGTCTAGAGAGGTGGGATGATTTTTCCTGGAAAACATCGAATTGACATGAGGATGAAGCAGTTAAATGCCAGTCATTGTATGGAATTCCATCAGTTGTAGTTATCGAATTTTGTTTAATGCCTTATTTGGCCTAGACTTGAGATATTGTAAGCTCTGATACAAAGTTGGCAGCGTGTTTTAAACTGTTAGGTTGTGGTTTTCTATCATTAGAGTTTGCAGGGTAGAGAAAAGTTGGGGAATCTTAAGGAGAAAAATAGTATTATTATAACAACAGAAGACAAGGGCCGGCAACAGATCGTTTTATTACGGAAATCAGCACGTATTTATATATATTTCATGTACATTATTATAGCTTATTCAAGTAGACAAACACAGTCTTCTGATTGGTTGTTTCTGGTTTCTCGGAAAGTTAAGCCATATATTTGCGAATCTTGTTTGCCCACGTTAAGTCTGCTGTGATTGGTTGTTGAATCAGTCTTGTTCATATTTTCTCACGGCCAATATTAGGGGCATAGACATTGACGTAAATTAATGTCTATCAATTGGCTAGCAGTCTGCTCTCACCACATTATTAATAATAATAAGTCAAGATGAAAGATGAGTAGTAGAAGGGGCGTCATCAGTAGCTTGTGAACCTTTGATCTTTTCTGGCTTTTCATAATGCGGAGCATGTTGACTTATTAAAGTATTTGATAGGGGTGAACTAGTTTTTCGTGACCAAAAAGCCTTAAAGAAGTTTTCTGTGTGTCGATCACATGTGACCCTTTTTAAAATATAAAATGTAGTACTAGACAATATGTAAGATGTGAATAAGAATAGTTGATTTATTTGCTAGATGAGGACCAAACTCTTAAGTACTTTGGCTAAGAGCCTTAGTGAGAAGTCGTGACCAGTAAGGTGCAGCAGGTTGAGTGCGGGGACAAATACTTGCCGAAGACATTGACTAGGGTCGCGCTATGTCATGAATTGGTAGAAGTTAGAATTCATGGGCCATTGGATTGGGTTCCAGTGACTCAATGGTATACGAGCTCGCCTTGTAACCAAAAGATCCTGGGTTCGAATTCCGGTGGGTGCGTACTGATGAAGAGTCTCAAACTAGGACGAAACAGCTGTCCAGTACTCCCAGCTTGTTTTTTCCAATGGTTCTCTAACCAATGTCAGCTCATGATGAAATCCTGTAACCAACCAAATCCCTACAAACCAACACTTAAGCGCTTCAGTTGATGGAGTTTAATTTTAATTATTTGCATGGAGAAGTTTGGGCTATTTTATCGAAAGAAACTGGAATTATTTATTTCAATACCTCTGAAATTTATACAAACAAAAGTTTTACTTGTCTACTTTTCACTTATTCGCTCATCATTAAGTAGAATTTTATTGGAGTTCATAAGTTCATATAAGTAGTATACACAGGATACTTAATTTGTTTTTGCTTTTCTTAGTAACGTTTATTTTAAAAGAATCTTCGACCAATCACTAGTTATTTGAACAATGCATTGTTCAAATTCATTAAGGGGAATAAATGTATGAAATCACTAGTTAGTTATCAGCTAATTTACTAACCGAGACAACTGTAATATACCTCACAAGTAAGACGAAGATTCCAACAAGGAAAATGATCTTTCAAACGATTTCATTTGTTTAGCCATGAAATTGTGTAATTTACACATATAAATACGATTGTACAGCTATGAAAATGAAACCATCTTAAAGGGGATTTTCTTCGCTGGAATCTTTGTTCTGTCTCAGTGAGGATTATTAATTTAATATAGCACAATTGTTTCCTATAGTCTGTGAAAGCCAAGTTATGTGCTACTTAGTTACTAAAGGCGATGAGAAATATTATCACACGTAAATATGACACACCTTTTAAGTTAAGAAATGCACCACACAGAATATCAACAACAGTATAAAGGAAAAAGAAAAAATGTCTAGAGAACGTAGTAAAACAGGTAAGCTGACTTACTGAAGACGTTCTAAAGAGAGGGTTCATTACTTTGTCATCACTTTTAGTGGCAAAAGAAACGAGGAAACTGCAGTACGTTTGTTGGTGATTTCTATGCTGAGTCATATTTGACAGTGTTTAAAACCACAAAGTCACAAATCTTGTCGTAACAAACCGAGGGAGTCATAATGTACCGAGATACATTAAACTAACAAAATTATCCTTCATTCCACAACTCTGCATCATGCACTGATCACCTTTCGGCTTTCTCCAACCGGTCTTGGGATTAACAGATAGTGGGCTATACAAAAGCTGCTGCTGTGATGATATTCGTACCGTACGTTTAAGCTACAGAAGCTGGTTTCTCAGGATGATGTTCTTATTAAATGATAGTGTTAACCTTTTCCAGACACAAGTAATGAAACCTCAGAATAACCTTCATAGTGTATCGACTGTATATAAAAAGTCCCTAATTATGACATACTAGTCCTCAAGTGGTTAAATGCAACTTGAGCAGTTTGTGTTTCCGTTCACATACTCCAAGCTGAATAGTCTTTCTCCAGTCAGCAAACTCCTATACTACTACCAAGTACGTTGTTCAGAGCTATCTTCAAAATGCCATCGACAGTGCGAAATAAGCTAGCCCCTTGAGGGTTGAAAGTAATGGTAATAGGCGGTTGTATACTTTTACTCCGCCTAAAGTTTTCTGCACAAGGTTTTCAAAATGTGAGCGACTTTACCATCGAGAGTGATTTCATTGGCCCTTTTTATTTGTTGCGATGGTCTGTTTCTTTCTAGTTGATAGTCATATTAGTTTGTTTATTAGATATATCATACAGTGAAACAGTATTATTGTTATTATTAAATAATGATGTTTCACTGTGTGATTTGTCTAATAAACAAACTACTAATATGGAATTACTTACTGCCACAAGGCTCAAATTTTAAACACATATTAAGGGATAGTCACATATATCTAAACTAAATTGCTCTTATTAATTTTCTAAAGGAACAATCTGAAAGTGCTCAACAGGGCAAAAATTCAGTTAAAGGTGGAGCATTCGATGGTGGTATAGGTGACAGCCCATTCACATTAGAAGCTGATCTGGATATTAATCGTGGACGTTATGATAGTCAATGGGTGGCTGAAAAATATCGAGAAAAATGGACTAAAGTAAGCCTATGTTTTGTAAGATGTTTTCGTGTTTTATTTGAGTGTGTGTACAAAGCAATATATCCTTCTGTGATCTTTAGCTTCTATATGGACAATCTGCTGTATCTGAAGACAAAACGTTTTATTAGCAACTCATGTGGTACGCTGATTCAAAGTTCCACCTGGTGAAGCAATTTCGTCTTTAAAAATGATCGGAACTAGTAATCAAAAGAGAGCGATGAATGGGACTTTTTCAAAATTTAGAATTGCTCAGCCTAAACTCTTGAAACCTTGGATCTGTCTGTCTGTCTGTTTTCGACATAGAACTGTGCACATATGTGCGCCAGTTCAAGTCGCCACACTCCTTCCATGTAGCACACAAACCAGGAGAAGAAAGTAGAAGAAATGCATAATAGAGACAGTAAACAGAGGTGTGAGACAAAGGAATAGTAACAATGGAGAACAATATAGTTCCACTGGAAATCATAAGTCACAAGGAGTGGATGCATCTGCACCAAACCATTGAGAACGATTTTGAACCATATCACCAATTGTTTCCAGCTATTGGTTTTTACCTCCCGAGGACTCCAACCAGTCAGGAAGTCTACACCTTCCTACGTGGCTGGCTTAAACTAACTGTTGTGGATTTCATTGACTGGTGAAGCCATTTTCTGGTTTGACCTCCGCTACCTCTTTTCCAGCCTGACCCTATGTCAGTCAGCTAACATTGCTCGTCAAGGAAAGCGATGACCAGGCATACGTAACACATGTCCTAACCATCTCAGTCGATGTGATTTCACAGCTTCGTCGATTGATTTCCCCTGTTTACCTAGTACTCGACGCCTAACCTCAATGTAGCTCACCTTATTATACCACTTCACACGAGAGAAAGAGCGCAGGCACCTATGATCAAAGACAGCTAGTTTGCGTTTTCATGTCTTCCACTCTCAATGGCCAGGTTTCACAGCCATAAAGGAGGATGGAGCGGACTGATGAGCAGTACGCACGCCCTTTGGTTGATAGCCGGATATCGCGTCTACACCAGAGGCGGCGTAAACTGGCCTATGCGAAACTAGCCCTCTATATCCGTGCTGAGATTTCGTCAGAGATCAACCCGTTGACAGTGGCTGATGGTACTTACGAAATAAGTGAAGCGGTCAACGTGCTCTACCACTTCACTTCCTATTACTAATCTAGGGGTCGGTGGAGTCCAGTCTTGTAACATCATCTTGCATTTGGCGGGAGCGAATCGCATGCCAAACCTTCGTAGATTGCGGCTCAAGGTGTTTAGAAGACTGCATTTTGTCAGCGTCCTCGCCTAGGAGGGAGGACTATATCGTCTGCATATTCTAAGCCAACGAGGTTATTCCCTGGTAGCAAGTCAACCCCTGAGTCTCTGAAGTCACTTAGGGTTAAGTCCATTAACACGTCTATGATGAAGTTGAATAGGAATGGGGATAATGGGCATCCTTGATGGACACCACAAGTCGTCACCATTTCAGATGACAACTCGCCGTAAGCCCTCACCTGGCTGTATGAGTACGAGTAGAGTGCCTTAATCAGTGCAATGTATTTTCTCGGAATTCCCTTTACAGCCAAGCATCGCCAGAAAACCTCTCGGTCGACAGAATCGAATGACGCCTTTAGGTCAAGAAATATAATGATTGTTGAACGCCGGTAGGAATGCCTATGTTCTAGAATCTGTCGGAGGGTGAAGGTATGATCAATACACCCTTCTCCTGGTCTAAAACCTGCCTGGCTCTCTCGTGTTTGTGCCTCCCGAGCACCACTTAGTCTACGCAATATTATTGAGCCTAAGACTTTAGATACTATATTAGTCAAACCAATCCCTCTGTGATTACCACTGTCTGTCTCTGTCTGGATTCAACATAGAACTTGGCACCGAAGTGCAAGTGATTACCACAGAAAGACTTGTCTCGCTTCCTGTATATGGGGATAATCAGTGACTTACACCAACCCGATGGGACTTCCTCTGATTCCCAGACGCTGCCTAGAACCTCAGTTAATGCAGACAGTAAACTGTCTCCACCGTACTTAGATACCTCTGGAGTCATTCCATCAGGTCCCGCTGCTTTGCCTTGCATACCTTGGATAGACTGCAGAACGTCGAATTTGCTCAATAAACTTACTATATGCCTTAGGTCGGAAGTATTGATGAATGTTTTGTGGTTTTAGAAAGCAGTTTTTTTTACTCCTTTCTATTATGAAATTGTGGTTTGATTAAATATGTTCGAGCTTCATATTCGAATGTTGAAGATTTGATTTCACGAAGATTTCTGTTTAATATTCTGAGCTTATTACTTCGTAATCTAAACTATCTGTAAATTTCGAGTTGATGAAGTGTGTCTTTAGTTCAAATATGTTTGTTGAGTTGAAAATGTTCTTCAACCTTGCATTATTTTAATGACGTCGTAATCAGCCTGATTCAGTTTGAATTAGTCACTTATAATCATGGACTTCAGAAAATTGCACTGAAATCGGGAACTGAAATATCATTTAAGGCTCTACTCTATTTATAATCCCAACTTGACGAACATTTTAAGATCGGTATAATTAAAATTATAATGGTTTCAACTTTTAACTGTTTGACCGTTGCTAACAACTTATAAGTCTAGTAAAGTCTCATGCCAACATCAAGTTGGCGCTTTCAACTCAATAAATTGACCAATTTGGACAACAGACTCACTAGCCAAAACTCTGACATCTTAGGGTATAAACTAAAACTTTGTCTTACCCATCAAAGTTTCGGTAGTCGGCTAGTATCATAATTCTTAACACCTCATTTGCGTCTCCCCTCTCATTTAATTTGCTTGTGGAGTGGTTTCTATGGGCTAGCTGTTGTAGTGATAGGTTCAATAGCAAAAATCACTGTCTTACTTGAGGTCACTGGACAGTTGTTTCCAGCCGTTCAGCTTAATGTATCTACGAGAACAAAATTGATACATCGTGATATTCATGGATGCTATTTTGTAGTCTTCGTTTATTTATAACACCGATTACAGTTTGAATGAAGTGGGAAAAATAATTTCTACGATGAAATCCATGGACCTCACTCGAGCTGATCAAGATCTCCGAGCATTAAGATAAACCAAAGCTCTCTAAATGTCTTTGTAAGGATGGTGAGGGCTAGTGTGTGATGCAAGCGTATCAAATCGAAAAGGCAACAGATGGATTCGTCTCTGTCAATGGAGAAATATTGTGATATAATGTCTGACTGAGAAGTAGTGCCGAGTTGTCTCGGAACTCTGTTTCAAAAGTTAAGTGGCGCGACCAGTGGTATATTGTTAGGTATGTCCAACTTTCCATTTTTACCTTATTTCATTGTAAACGCGCCGGTAGAAAATGGTTGTTTAGTTTCAACGACTTCATACCTGGAGAAGCGATGATTGGTGTAAAGTATGCATATAACATTTTTATTTTACAAAAATGCTGACAAAGTGCAGTCTTACAAAGTCCAGAAGCTTGGTTTTGACAGTTTTATGCTCGATCCAGTCACATGCAAGTTTATGTCACAGGACTCCTAGCTTAAATATAGGGAGTGAAGTAGTAGAGCGTATTTACCACTTTGCTTATTTGGGGAGTTAGATCAGCCAACGCTGACGGGTTGATCTCTGACGAAATCTCAGCACGGATACAGAAGGCCCGTTTGTCATTTTCCAGCCAACTTACGCCATCTCTGAAGTAGACGTGATATCCGGCTATCGACCAAAGGGCGTGTGTACTGCTTAGCAGTTTGCTCTGTCCACCGTCATGACTGTAAGACATTTTTTTTGATTACAGCTTGATTCCACACCGTATCTTTGGTACAAGTATGGAATTTTCAGCATGGATATCGGTAGCCCAAATTTTGCGGGCCGACCATAGATATCAGGTGTGCGTCGGCGTGGGCTCGAAACCCCGGACCATGTGCATGGTAGGCGAGAGTCCTAACCACTGTGCCACCGACGCACATGGTCATTGAGAGTGGAAGACATGAAAAGGCAAACTAGCTGTCGTTGATCATAGGTGCCTGCGCTCTTTCTCTCGTGTGAAGTGGTATAATAAGGTGAGCAATATTGAGGTTAGGCGTAGAGTTCTAGTTAAAGAGGGAAAATTAATCGATGAGGTTGTGAACTTACACCGATTGAGATGGTTAGGACATTTGTTACGTATGCCTAGCCATCGCCTTCCTCGTCCTCGATGGGCAGTGTTAGTTGACATAGGATCAAGATGGAAAAGAGTTGACTAGTGGTGGTCAGACCAAAACATGGCTTCATCAATCAATGCAATCCATAACAGGTAGTTTTAGTCAGCCAGCCAGCCACGTCGGGAGGTGTAGACTTCCTGTTTGGGATCCTCAGGATGGTAAGAACCAATTACCGGAGAATATTTGTGATACGGCTGGAAATCGTTCTCATTGGTTCAGATGCATTCACTCTTTGTGATTTATCATGTTCAATGACATTCTGTTGTTCTTCCATATTGCTATTGTTGTTTGCCTCATATATGTTTATTATCTTTGTTTTGAATATCTTTTTACTCTCTTCTCTTGCTTTGTGTGCTACAAGGAGGGAGTGTGGCAACTGGGACTGGTGCACTTCTGTGTAAAGTTCTATGTCGAAACCTATGCTACAGCACCGGTCTGCATCGACTCCTAGACTTTGAATAGAAGCAAATAAATTTGTGGAATGTGTCAGCCGCTTAAGTAGTTGAATCAGCTGTAGTTGATTGATAACCGTGATATTCTCAGCGCAGATGAGACAGTGTGCGTCGGTGGCATAGCGGTTAGGACGCTCGCCGGCCATGCACATGGTCCTGGGTTCGATTCCCGACCGATGCACTCCTTTACTTCGCTAAGCCAGAAATAATGCTGATAAAGAGGAAAGGTTGGGCATGAGGCTAGCAACCCCATCCTGTAAAATAAACACTTCTACAGAAACTTCAAGCCACTAGCTTGAAGCCCTATGTTCCACTGGGGAACATGAAGGAAAAAAAAGATAAAAAGTGTTGTTTACCAACAGGGTTACCGACTTGTGTAATCTGTAGTTTCGGTGTGACAGGCAAGTGTATATACAGTGAAGCTATTCATTTTGTCCTACTGTAAGATTGTGAGATGCTGTAATGAAGTAGACAAGATATGTAAATCTAGGTTTTCAGCTGTAGTTGTCTGTGTTTACCTGTTGGCTTTATTTCGAGAGAAATAATAACTGTTTGTGCTACCTGACGTAGAGTTTCAGGTAGAGAAATCAGATCAGTCTATAAAGTTGATTGTGATAGCTAGGTCACATCAAAATCAATGTTGACATCGTATAGATTTATTCAATACTTATCATATTTAAAATTTCGAGAACTACTTTTGTTCGATTATTCTTCTCACACATTCATTTATAGTATCGTCATATTTCTCTATTACATGCTTTTTCGAAGTATGATAACGTGAACTGATTTGCTTCAGTAGGATGCTACTTTGAGCTTTCATTCATCTGATTAGTCACAGCGTAAGTTGGAAAAATACATATGACAGTCAGTGAGGTTATCATCTCTTAATTTATGGTGTTTTTCCTACATGAATAATCTGTACGTATCTAGATTAGGCGTCGAGTACTAGGTAAGGAGGGGAAATCAATCGACGAAGCTGTGAAACTACATAGATTGAGATGGTTAGGGCATGTGTTACGTATGCCTGATCATCGCCTTCCTCGACGAGCAATGTTAGCTGACCGACATAGGGTCAGGCTGGAAAAGAGGCAATGATGGTCAAACCAAAAAATGGCTTCACCAGTCAATGAAATCCACAACAGTTAGTTTAAGCCAGCCACGTAGGAAGGTGTAGACTTCCTGACTGGTTTGGGTCCTCAGGACGGTAAAAACTAGTGGTTGGAAACAATTGGTGACATGGCTCAAAATCGTTCTCAATAGTTGGTGCAGATGCATCCACTCCTTGTGACTTATGATTTCCAGTGTAACTATATTGTTCTCCATTGTTACTATTCCTTTGTCTCACACTTCTGTTTACTGTCTCTGTTATGCATTTCTTCTACTGACTTCTGCTGGTTTGTGTGCTACATGGAAGGAGTGTGGCGACTTGAACTGGCGCACATATGTGCACAGTTCTATGTCGAAAACAGACAGACAGTACGTATCTAACTTCAAGGGTAAATTTATTCTCTTGTAGAGTGTAATTGTGAATTTGTATTGAATTCACATTTGCTTAGATGATAACTACTTAAGAATATGGATTTGTTGTTATTGTTGTCGTTATATTCTCTGAGCTGGATGATTAAGGTTGAAGATCTTATCTAGGAAGGCAATGAAAGCTGTAAAATTAAGCCATTCAGCTGTTAGAGAATACAATGATACCAGTTTTAATCCCCATTGATTTAACTCTTTAAGGTTTGCCGATTATTCACTGACCTGCTTTTGTTTCCTTTCAGGAATTCGAAGAATTTAATCCAGTTGACGGTCGTCTTGCTGGTGGAGCGTTAAAATCTCATTTGTTACAATCACGATTACCCAATTTCACATTACATCGTATATGGAAACTTTCAGATATAGATATGGATGGTCATTTGGATGTTGATGAGTTTGTACTTGCTAAATACTTGATAGAACTAGCCTCAAAAGGCAATGAGATACCAGATTGTTTACCGGATCACTTAGTTCCACCTAGTAAACGAAATCTGAATCCACCATCTACAAACGGTGAAATTGAATGTCCGCAACCAAAATATTAAAGTATGCTGACTGCATCATTATAGTGATATTTTTAGTAAACAAAATTCCATCTGGCGTGCATTAACAAAAAAAAGTCAGCATTGAATCATAAATCACAAGTGTACAGGTCCTGTTCCATCCATTCACATTCCTATTTTTAACAGAGTAAAGATACTTTCTATAAATATGCAATAATAATGTGTACACATTTAGAAAACAAATTCTACGTCTGTGATATTACTCTCATCGGTTCGAATACACACTCAACTCAAGCACTCATTGCTTTGATTTTCTCTTGCACAAACACTGTGGTCAATTAAACTCAGAGGATTCGTGTATTTAGTGAATTGTTATCAAGTGAAAATAGTATGTACAACTGCCGCGCAATCGAAATTCCGCCATTTAAGTCTGTTAGATGACAATTGTAGTTAATGGACTCCATGATGAAATAATACCAGCCTGATTTTGTGCCTATTATTATTGTTATTATTATTTCACTATATACATATTTTTTAAATCTTTGAATTCGACTTTCGTATTCTGTTCCGAGTGAAATATACAGCTTCACGCTTGAGCCTTGAAGTTGTAGTGTAACGGCAAAAGACAAGAGTTAGGCAAGAGATCGTTTATCAAGGAAATCAGCACGTGTTTATATATATTTCATGTACATTATTATAGCTTATTCAAGCAGACGAACACAGTCTTCTGATTGATTGTTTCCTGCTCAAGGTTATTCTGTACTGCTTGCACCTGGTTTCTCAGAAAGTTAAGCCATATATCTGCGAATCGTGTTTGCTCACGTTAAGTCTGCTGTGATTGGTTGTTGAATCAGTCTTGTTCATATTTTCTCACGGCCAATATTAGCGGCATAGACATTGATGTTAATTAATGTCTACCAATTGGCTAGCAGTCTGCTCCCGCCACAGTAGTAGCAGTGGTGTTGTTTCTACTAGGTGGGTGGGGGTTGCCAGCCTCGTGCCAAAACTTTCTTCTTTTCCGAGTTTATTGCCGCTTAAGTGAGGTTCAGCTGTACATCAGCCGGGAATCGAACCTGGACCCAATGTACTGACATATAACTAATAGATGACAGAAAATAACTAATTTTATACTAATACATAATTAAAATCCACTAACTACATTGTTCCGGTCTTATGATTCACTGAAATTAACTTTTTAAGATATCGGAAGTAACATATGCAGAGTATTAAAGTCTTTGATAATTATAACTGACACTACTTATGTCAGAGAATGAGGTGTACAATAATAATTATTTATCGTGTGTAATTTCCTCTTTGTCTAGAAATGCATGTTAAGAGTTTTGATATAATAAACACTGAGATTAACTGAAAATATTATGAAGATTACATATGGGTGTAGTCGAATTAAGTTGTAAACAGATTGTCTGACCAAGCCAAAACGTAATAATAATATGACTTCAACCTTGTCAACTGACCAATTCGGTTTATTGGCACAGTTAAACTTTCATAGCCAAAGTCGCAATGACCTTAAACAACCAATTAGAATTCAGACACGAGAAAGTCACATAATCACTGAAAAATTCACCAGAAAACATTGCAAACATGATATAACACCATGTAATTGTCGCGTATGAGTTTTAAGCATGCCTCTCAGCTACTACACCGGTGATTTATAGAGAAATCATACCATACACTGTAGATGCATTCATCTAGATGACTGCAGGTCATGGTCATTTGAGATCCATTGATATTTCTGACACTGTTATTAACCTACTCCTAACTCTAACCATAATTCTAACTTCAACCCTGAACCTTATTCTTAGAAGCCATAACCCCACAAAACAGTGTAGATTTGCAGGAAAAGTACCTAGTAAATACCTATGTGTCCTCTCCAGGTCCAAAAAGCTAGGCATGACTTGATTTCGAATGAAATTTCATAGCATTCTCTATATCTGATTGGTTCTTATAGGTCAACTTTTGACAGACCTTGACTTTAATTATGATACTTTAACTTTGCCGTGATGCTTAGCTTCAGAGACACTACGCCTTATTAAAAAAAAAATAAAACTGAAATCGATAACAGTTGTATAAATCTACTCACCCTGTAACTTCTTCAAAAATTACGACAGTTTTATCACTTTAGCTTATTTACTTCCATCTCCTTGACTTTATTGTGCTTCAAGGAACTATTGCAAATAATTCAACTACCGTGCAATACGTTCAAACAATATTGTATCTCGATAGAGAAAGAAAGACCAAATTTGCAGTATAAAATGATATCATTCTGTTTTCTTTTTTCTCTCACCCCCCTTTTTTTTCTTTTTTCATAGTTTGACAGTATATAAATTGATGATGCTTTCACCTTATAATGTTTTCTCTATTACCTTTCAAACAATGAAGTATTAAAGGCTATTATTTAAAACCATTGTATTTTCAGGTAGTTTGCAGCTGATGAGAACCTGTGAAGTAGAATGATATCATTTTATACTGCAAATCTGGTCTTTCTTTCTCTATCGAAATTTATCAAAGGAACCAAATGTAGGAAATATTGTATCTCTTTAAAGTATGAGAAATTTCCATGTGTTGTGCATTAAGACGATATCAGCCAGCAAACAGATTTCTTTTCTTAATTTCTCTTCGAAACTGTACAGTTATTCAAGGATGTATAAGTACAGTGGTAATATGTCTGGATATGTATGACTTCAGTCGACGTAAGTTGGTGAACCTGTTCAGTATATTAAATAGTTGAGTGCTCTTTAAATGTCCAACTCTTATTCAACTGTCAAATGTACTGACAAGAAGTTTGAGTAGAAATGGATTTACTACCTAATTGATTACTTTCTGATTGGTTTATGGTATGCCTGGTATCGAGTAGCTTTCAGTCGACCATTAGTCAATACAAAGTTTACGAGCGATGTCTTTCTTATCAATGGAAATGCTTATTTAAGTAAAATGCGGGTGGTAATCTTTAACAATACTTAGCAATTAGTTGACTTGGAAAAGTGAAGTTCAATTGAAAGACGAATTATCTTTCCAAGAAGTTCTGCTTTCCAAAACAAACGGATGGATCTCTGCGAAGAGCAACCAAAATGAAACAGACAGCTGAGAAACTCTAACAGTTTCGTTATAATAATCGGGAAAAGAAATCTCATCATATCTCTTGAGATGAGGTTCTGTCGTATCTTCATTGAAGATACTTTGACTATGGGATCTTCCTAATCCTGCAGAAGTACTCTGATTAAGAATGGATATCGTCTTTCATCGATAAACATTTAAAGAGAAAGACCGCTTCTCCGCTAAACGCTGTGTTGACGAAACAACAAATTCTAAATCTAAAATTCAAGAGGGATACAATTAATGAATTCCTACATAACCGAATGTGATTTGAAGAACATTCTTTGAACTGCGTTCAGTGATGCGGACTGAGAGACACCTTTCTGAATGCCCAATATATTGACGTCGATAAATACATATGTTGGCATACATATCATCTAAGGTTTTCGCTTTGTTTAAGTAACTTTTATGATTTCTGTTCAGGAGTACCAATTCAACTGAATATAAGGTTTGTTTTATCGCCTTGTCCGAGTAACTTTATCTCTGTCTTAAATGACAGTTCACTGTGTACCTTCATTGTAAGGACTGTCTCAGATATTAATTCCAATTTATCTCCTTTGCAATACTCGTTTATAAAGCGTTGATTGGACTCTTGGTAGAAACTTCTGTCGTGCGTCTAGTCCTGAATTTTATCAGTTAGGTTTGCAATGTGATCACTATGCTAGATCGCTTGGCATCACAGTGTTCTCGGAGTTGTTATTATTAGATGGCTGGAGGCAATAGACAGGAAATCTTGGACACTTAGGTCTCGTCCTTGGGACTCATATTCCCTCTGAGTTTCGAATCCAGACAACCCAGTATTGCAGTCACCTTTTCGAATAACCATTTTCTACCAATAAATCCTTCAGTGGTTTTTGTTTACACTTTGATCTGCTACAGAAAAGACTATTCTTGTCTTGTTTAACTATATTCTGACTAGATACTCGTATTAGTGAACTGAAAGGAAGTTATTAATATTTAGGAACTACCTCATTTATGTTGGATTTTGACATAACTAATCTCTCAACTGTACTGTTTGCTTATTTTGCATATTATCACTTCCTCCAAACCATGTTGGCAAGTTATTATTCATCTTTTTATGCGTCATGCTATGCTATCAATTATGTTTATATGCCTGCTAACCACCTTTGGAAATGATATGATAAAAATAATGCCTGTAGAGTGTTCAGCTGAATAGGTCTTACCGAAATTTATGAATTCACTAAACGCTGCTTTAAGTATTGTGCCTACTTGTCTCCAGCTGATGTAGGTATTTTACTGTTTTGACTCATATATTAAGTGGCTCACTCTGATGATGTAACACCAACTGACATCTATCGGCAACTACAGAACACGAAAAATACTATAGTGTTTACTTGATACCTTCTGCTGTCTGACTTAACTAGCAACAACTGTGATGTATGCATAAGATATAACATTGACTGAAAAACTTAGCCAAGAATTTTATAGCTTCAGAAGTCAATGGGTAAGTAGCCTTCAAAGGAATGAATAAAAATAAAGTATAAGTTATACCTTACAAAAAGTTAGAGACAATATGTCAGAAATCACAAAGGAGGTAATTTAGTACTAGTAAAATATTCTTAGATTTTCATATTTACCCTTGTTAACAATGTTCCTTAATGGTCATAGTGTAACAGTAGAAGGTGAGAGACTTTGTAAAGGAATGTTTATTTGGAATATGGTATCTTTATATAGCCAAATTATTACGTACACTTCATCTGCAAATCACCATTTGTACAGATCTTCGTGTTGTGCTACTTCTGGCCTTCATATTGTGTTTCTTTGTGTTCCTTTGTCGTCTCCCATGTATCTCCACAATGCTGTATCATTTACTTTCTTTGATATTAAATCTAACTCCCTACTATTTGATGTGTTTTTTATACACATCTGTTTATATACTACTGATAGCTCTTATCAGTAGCGCACAC